TTGAAAGAGCTATTGCTAAAGAAAACAGTCACTATTGCTTTTATTGCACATTTCCTCTTTAAAAAGATGAGACACAAACTATGAGGGATGGAGCTGAGTTCTAGGGGGAAGGGGAGCAGAAAGAAAGGCAAAGTGGACTAGGTAAGTTGAGGTGCTTGTAAGGGATTCCCTTACCCCTCCTGTCCCAGCTTTCTGCTTCATGGTGGGGGGGCAGGGGAGCGGGGGTGGTGTGGGGGCTGGTCTTAACAAGGGCCAAGTCTGAGGGTAAAGATGATCATCACAATAACTACTAAGACAGCTCCCAGCATATAGATCCTGCTGGTTGACTTGAGTGGCTAGTGATGTTAATGAACTAAGGTCATGAGTTTGAACCTGGGCAATGGAAACTTTATCAAGGCAAAAGGAACCTGTATTGTGTAACCAGGAGTAGCCTAGACATCAGACCCCTTTCAGGTCAGGTAGTCATCGCATTGCCCATGTGCAGATTGTTATGATAGGGGAAGAGGGTTTCATAGGAGAGCTCTGGGGTCCTCCTCCTTCCTAGCTCAGCAAGTCAGAGCACTGCACTTTCCTTATGGCCTTCACATGCTGTTTGTACTTCCTATAGCTTTTCTATGGAAGATCGGTTTCCACCTCCTTTCCACTACTGGGGCTGGCACTGAATTCCCAGGCTGAGGATCTTTGGAAGAGTGGCCTTTTCTCACCAAGACTTGACTCTCATACACCACGAAGTTCCAGGAAGGCACAGAGCCTTAACTAAATTAAATTTGGGTTCCTGAATTAAATTTAATTAACAAATGAAAACTTGGTTCTTGATAAATTTACTCAGAAAGTCAACAGCCCAGTTGCTTTCTCTTCCTGACAACTTCTCTGCCTTTCCTGGACTCTTTCTTTTCCAACCTCCCAGAAGCTCCAACTTTTAAAAAAGTCCGAGGCCACAGAGGCATCTCACAAAGCTGGGGGGAAAATTGATATCTTGCTTGGACCACATGTCCATTCTCGGCTCTTGCTGCCTCCTCTATGGAATCTTGAAGGGAGGGGTAAGATACCCAGGACCATAGGGTATCTTCATGGACTCCAGAGCCCACGAAGCTTGGTCCAAGGCTGGATGTAACTTTTAACTTCCATTTTGGATAAAGCCTTTGCCGAAATGCGCTCAGGCCCTACCCGGTCCTACTAGCAGGAAGAAGCAACTCCTGGGGCTCTATGATGCTGGATAATCTTACACAGTGTTTAAATCTAGTGTTAGAACAGAGGATAAAAATCAGGCCCTCTAAAAATTGTGAATGCTCCTTCAGCCACAGGTTAATGTCCTTCATCACATTTTACTTCAGCTAAATTGGCCTGCAATTTTGTCAAGGCACAGCAATTGAATGGGAGGCCAGGCTTCCCTGGGAGCTCTGGTGGGGAAGCATGCCTAGATTGAACACTCATAGGTGGGGATCAAGAGTTGACTTCAGTGGACTTTTGCCCAAGAGTGAGCGAAAGGCCACGAGCAAGAAAAGCTGTCTCATTTTAGGAGCTAAGTCTACACAGAAAATCAGTTTTCTGACCTGGCTCCAGACAAAGAGGTACTTTGGAAGGTTGGGTAATAAGTTCTTTTGGCTCAAAGATTGGTGGGGTATTTCAACCTGGTTTAGGGTTCAGAATCCTAGCGTATCTTGAGTCAGCACTGCTTCAAGAGAATAGGGATAAATCTGGAGATTCCAGACATTTGGAGGGGAGTGTGAGTCACCTGTGTGGATTTTCTCTGAAGGAAAAGGTATAGTGAGGAGGCCCGTATTAGGTTGTTAGCTCTCACGGGTCATTTCAGACCCCCCGCACTCCGAGTGCTGTTTGAAAGAAGGTGAAGGGTAGCAAGCCCAGGAGATTCCAGTGCTTGATGTGGTGGCCCAACTTTCTGCTTGAAACCTCAGGAGTTCTGTCTCAGGAATGAGACTGGATGTCAAAGAAGCTCCTTGGAGAATACTGAGGGTTATTGATATGGGCAAGGAAAAGCACTTCAATCTGATCCCTTGCCTTTGTCCATCAACTTTTAGATGTGGAAGCGTAAGCATGATTAGTGATTCAATGTCTAAATTTTTCATGTATTCTTGGGCATGGGTACTGTTTTTTTCTGCATCTAGTATAACTCTGTGCACTGTGTATGCTGAACTTTTGTGCAGAAAAAAATACAAAGTATCATTTATGTACTTGTATGTATATCCATTGCCCCCCAGTTTGATTTGTATATTTTGCATATAAGTTGTATGCTGTGTATTTGCACATGGGGTAAATACGTCTCTTGCAGATATTCTGTATTGGTATACACAGTCTATGTTTGGGCAGCATATGTATGTTTTGTCTACCTTTTATTTGTATGATTTTTATATTATTTTGGCCCATATGTATTTTGCATATATGTTGCATATTTTATGTTTGTGTGTGACAATGATGTGTCATTCATTTTAGGATGCATTGTGTGTGCACATTTTACGGTTCCCAGGCCAAGGATTTTGTGAATAGGTAACTTCCCCTGACTTAGACCTGCATGAGTTGCTTTAACCTTCGACCCTTCGAAGTATGTCCCTCCTACCCCATGTCATGAAGTTCAGCACCGCCTCCCACAGAGGAGAAGAAGAGAAGCACAGAGGCTTTGTGCCCGGCATGGGATGCCCAGCGATCACCTGGGGATGTGGGTGACCAGGAACTAATGAGCACCCTGGACTAGCACCCTTAGCTGGTGCCGCCTCCTCTAAGACAACTGTAGATACCGACTAGTGAACAGTGATGCCTGGGTTGGAATCAATACCGAACAGCCTGACCATGATTCACTGTGTTTGGGGAATTTAAGCCACTGTGTCAAAAGGCAAAGAAACCCAGCATGAAGAGGTGAAAGCTGTCTCCCACAACTCTTTCTAGGACCAACACATTCTCTACTTTGAGACTGTACAGTGATCATTCATTCTTTCCCTGTTCTTGGGGTGGGGGTAATTCTTTACCCATTCGTTGGCTTTTTTTTTTTTTAAAAGGGCAGCTCTTATTACCAGTGTGCTAGGGAGAGAGTCTGAGTTTAGTAATCAAAATGATGCTTTGGGCCATGCAGAGAATCCATCCCTTGGTTCTGGAATTTGGAAATTTCCACCAATAGGAGGCTTCCTTTAAGTCTAGATCAGCAGAATCTGGTCCCAGGGAGTTTTACTCCTTGGTTTCAAAGCAAAGGATCCATTCTAGGGACAGGTTCATGAACATGGTGGAGGCAGAGCCAAATGATAGTGAACCAAACAGGGGAGAGGATAACAATGAAGATGATTAATGGGATGGATTGTAGAGAGGAGGCCTGGGGTGGGCCTGGCCCAGGATAGCTGGAGTTGTGAGGGCTCTGGGACCCTTGTGCACTCAGGAAGACAAGCTTCAGCCATGGGGAACTGAAGCTGCAGCACATGGAGGGCAGAGAGACAATTCTAATGTCTAGGAATCTATGAACACTGGAGTGTGTCTGAGGCAATGACAGCAAACCCAGGTCCAGTGGGTTTTACCATACCCATTGGGCTTCTTATACAACCAACCCACCAAGCAATGGATTTGCTCCTGAATCTGAACTCCAGAGAATGAATATATATATATGTGTGTGTGTGTATATAACATACATATACACACACTTGTGTTTGTATATATATATTCTAGTGCACATAGTCAAACACATGCATAAATTGCCCTGTGTCAAAATATTGCATAAGCTTATACAATGTTCAAATGCAATTTTTCTATAGCTTACTAGAGGAACACATGAGAGAGAAAGATAGATAGCTAATATATATTTATGTACATTGAACCCACAGATCTGCCTGTCCTCAGGATCAATGCCCTGGTAAGCTTTGTAGTCATGCCCATGACTAGATTAATTCAATTCCTAAGGTTCAGCCATATGAGTGTTCAGACTCTGATTTTTCTGTTCATTCTCCTGGTGTGGCAGGGTCTTTGCTCTCATTGAAAGAAGAGAGATGGGTGGGCTGGAGGGCCAGCCAGAAGTTTTGGTTCCCCATTCCAAATAGTCTATTTGCTTTTCCCTGATGGAGGGCTTTTGCCTTCTGATGGGGAAAAAAACCCTAGTTCAATACCATCCCAAGGCTATTAATACTCTACGTATGAATACTGTATAGGCTACTAGGAAAATAGGTTATCTCCTGTGTTTTAAATATTGAGATTCATGCAGTGAACACTCATGCAGCTCTATTGCATGACTGGTATACTCCACTGCAGTGTAGTGGAGCTGGGCCACACCATCAGGAAAGCAGATGTCTGCAAACTCCAGAGTGAAAGAAGAAATCAGACATGTTCTGTGACCCTGAAGCTTGCAAAATGGTATCTGAAGCTGAGAAGTCCCTGAATTAGGTAGCTTCTCTCCATAGGCCTAAGGGAACAAATGTAAAACTTGACAACTCATATTT